TTTTTTTTTTTTTTTTTTTTTTTTTTTTTTTTGAGACAAAATCTCACTGTCACCCTTGGTAGAGTACTGTGCTGTCAGCTCACAGCAACCTGAAACTCTTGGGCTTAAACAATTCTCTTGCCTCAGCCTCCTAAGTAGCTGGGACCACAGGTGCCCACCACAATGCCCAGCTATGTTTTGTTGCTGTTGTCATTATTGTTTTTAGCTGTCTGAGGCTAGGTTTGAACCCGCCAACCTCCGTGTATGTGGCTGGCGCCATAACCACTGTGCTATGGGCACCGAGCCTCTCTCAGATTTTCATTCTGTCTCATGTTCTTCCTCATGTGGATTGCCCTATTCTGGGTTTCCAACATCTTTGATCATCTGAGTGCATCTAGAAAGCCTGATTTATATAATTCAACATACCATGACTCTCCTGTCTTTTTTCCTACTGAATGGAATGTAACTTCCATAGATGGTCTTTAAAGACAGAACTATGTCCTGCGTCTGCCTTCTCTGCCTCCAAGACAGTGACTGTCAAAAGCCATATTGGCTGGCAGTTGTTAGATACTCCCTGCAAGGATCTTTAGGGAGGTGCTTCCTGTGATTCCCAGTTGCCTTGGAAACTTGACTTATTGGCTGTCAAGAGAGCTTCTTTCTGGAAAGCAGCCACCTCCTGCCTTTTTTCTAGGACAAACAGCATTCCCTGAATTTCAAAGTCTTAAATACACCTGGCAATCCTAGTAGGTAAAACTTGCATAATTGCCATGTTTTCAGGAAACCTCATAGTACTCCATACCAACTGAAGAAGGATCAGTTGTATTTACATTATAAAGCTGTTTCTTGTTTTATGCAGCCCAGTGACATTTTTGGTAGTAGTAGCAACAAGTGTACTGTTTGAGTGATTAAATACAATTTGATAAAATGTTAAGAGCAATTTGAAATAGAACCCAAAAGAAATACACTCACAAACCCATCTTTTTTCTGCAGCTCTTCTTCATTAGAATTGGTAGCCTTATTTAACATTCTGACTTGTGCTGAGATTTTGCTAATTTTAACAGATGTAAATTTTCAATCTATGTATCTGCTGTTTATGAAAGCATCATTGTATAATTTTCAAACATGTTATTTGACTTGATGGAAAATAATATAAAGGGCACCCTAAGAACTAAGAAAAGGTGAAATTTCTAGGAAGAAATTTTGATTTAAGGAAATATTTTAACAGTTTTAGTTGGAAAGCTTATTAGCTAGGTTGAGAGCATATGCTCTGAAGTCAAGTTAATCTAGGATTATACTGTCTCTCACTAACTACAAGAACTTGGGCATGCTGCTAAGCTCGTGGTTCGCAAACTATACTGCACAGTGGAATCACCAGGGGAACTTTAATAACTATCCTGATGCCCAATTTATACCATATGCCAGTTAAATCAGAATGAGAATGGGAACTAGGCATCAGTAGTTTTTCAAGATCCCCGGATGATCTAGTATGCATTAAAGTTTGGGAAACATTACATTATACCTTCTGAGGCTCCTTATTATTTATAAATGGGAGTGGTAGTCATACTTATTTCATGTAGATTTTATATGGATGAAAATAGTTAATGAACTTTTAACCCAGTTCTTGGTATATAGTAAGTACTCATTGAATGGGTGCTAATTATTATTGACAATGTTATTGTTGTCAGTGGCCAGAATTTTAGAAATGTTTTGACAGTTTACTCAGTGCCTCAGTCAGGAGGTGACTACATGAAGATCCACTTTCAGCTCAGTCTGGCTGTTTACCAAAAACCTTTCAGGCCATTGGGGAAACCCCCATCATTATAACAGAGTCAACTCCCATGCCCAACTTTGCATTTCAATGTATCTCCTTTTTTTGATGTTTTCAAAAGTGTTCATGTTATGTACAAAGAGTTAGCATGGTTTCTTTCAGTGGATAGATGCCTTGGGTAAATTAATCAAGGAAGATCAGTTAGTCCAACTTAGTGAAATCTTTCATGTACTGACAGAAACATTGGCAGTACATATTAAGACCATATTTCCAGGTCAGCCCATGCCAATTTGAGCAGCTGCAGGAAAACTGAGAACTCTGGCCTAATTTTCATGGATGGCTTCAGTAGAGCTGCTAGTGACCCATCTTACTTGCTGCAGTACAAGGCAAAAGGAAAATGCTAGCATACACATGCACTCTTCCAAATTTCTGTGACACAGTTAAGCTCGCTATATCTTTATGTAAAAAGATTCAATAACTTATTTTTCCCCATTTCTCAATAGGAAAATTTCTGGCAATGCCATGCTGCAGTTGGGACCCTTCTTATATTGGACATTTCTGGCTGCCTTTGAAGGGACAGTGTTCTTCTTTGGGACTTACTTTCTTTTTCAGACTGCATCCCTAGAAGAAAATGGAAAGGTAAAAAAAAAACTTTTAGTATTTAGACTGCATCCCTAGAAGAAAATGGAAAGGTAAAAAAAAAACTTTTAGTATTATAAGCATGACTTATTTTTTTCTTGTAGGCAGTGGATCTGTCATATATATATATATATATATATATACACACACACATATATATACATATATTTTTTTTTCCAGCTATGATCATCTTACAAACTATTCTTTTCCAGATACAATATTTAGTTCTTACAACTTCTTTAGACCAGTAGAAGTTTTTTTTTAACTTTATTTTATTTTATGGTGAGGTTTTTTTGTTTGCTTTTTGCTTTTTGTTTTTTTTTGCCATTTTTTTTAGCCAGGGCTGGGTTTGAACCCGCCACCTCTGGTATATGGGGCCAGCACCCTACTCCTTTGAGCCACAGGCGCCACCCTAGACCAGTAGAAGTTTTGAAGTAAGAAACCACTTTCTGTGTGCATGGCTAACTAGAGAGCTTATGTGCAAACTTTCAGCAAGCTTAACTTGGATGTGATTTTTACTAAATGAACAGAGGTCTTGGGACTTCAGATTTTGGACCCCTGCTCTTTGGTATGAGAAAGGCTTTTCTCGTTTTAAAGGCTCCACTCGGCTTTTATTCATAGTAGCCTCCATGCTTCAATTGAAGGAGATAGCTGCTTTATCTTTGTAGTGTGAAGACAGGGAATTCTCTCTTCCTCTTTCCCTTCCGAATGGGAACATAGTGTTGTTCAGGAAAGCTACACTGGTTTGGACAGTGCCTTCCCAGCAAGTGACTATCTTAGTCAGCAGCTATGCTGGGATGATTTTGCCCTGGCTGTACTCTAGGAGAGAATTACTGATGGGGCACAGGTGAGGTTTTCTTCTTATAGCCACACAGTAGGAAGCCAAACACACGGCCTTGCATGATGCTTTAATTTTGTTCTCCTTTGCCATTCTAGGATTTCTCTTCTATGGTCATTCATTCTTTATAATCAATCATTGTGTGAAACAAAGCTAAGGTTCAAAAAGAATTTACTGAGTACAGTGACTATGTCTGGAACCTATTAACACCTATTAAGTAAGTGATAGGCTCAGCGAGTTTGATACTTTGAAAGTAGGTATGACAAACTCTTTCTAATTTGGACTAACAGAAATTAGTGTAGCATGAATTCATGACATTATCATAAAGTAATTTTTGGAGGAATACAAATCTACTTTAGAATAGTCTCATGTAGCACTTGCCAAGGAGAATGTCCTAAATTTTTAGGTGTTCTTGAGAAAGTCACATCAGCTTTCCAAGTCAGCCTAGCCCAGCAGTAAGAAGAATGGATTTGATCTTATAATTTCTCTGTTCCCTTCAGCTGATTCTGTTGACTTTCTATTTTATTTTATTTGGTACAAAACTGTATATAGCTGGCTATCCCTTAAAAAGAATTTGCTCCATGCCAAATTGCATATAAAATCAGCACATCATGCTCCATAAATGCATTAATGTACACAGCTATGATTTAATAATAAAAAAATTAAATTAGGCTC